GATTTGTCGCACGCGACTTGTAGTATACGATTTTCCTACTACAAGTCGTAGGATTTTAAGCAGTGGTTCAAAACCCTACTACAAGTCGTAGGYTGTGTACGACTGTTGTACACAAGTCGTAGGGGCATTTACGCGGCGCGATTCAAGWCGTATACTACAAATCGCACGAGACAAYCGTGCCGTGTAAATCAGTTTTTCTTGAGTTATCTTTTCCTGAMTCTGTTATTTATCTTCACCGTTTATCAGATCACTTTGGTTTTCTACTGGATGTTTGGTAGAGAAATAATATACATCTCTTTCAGAAGGCAGTACTTAAATGTCATTATGTTCTCTAAGTTTTAACTTAAGAGAAGACTTTGGCAGCCATTATGACGACATAAGRTCTCGTAGGTCTGTTCTACACTATGGCTGCATGTTCAATTCAGTTTCTATTGTTAAAATGTAAAAAGTTCTCGTTATGTTTTACCTGTTGTGAGGAAACCTGCAGCTTTTTTCATGATGTCGTCAACCGCTAAATTAGTACTGTTCAAGTATTGCATGACATAGATGTTTGGAGCGAAATTAACCATATTCTGTTCTCCACAACCGGTAGGTAGCTTAATAATCTTTTCAAAACCCTTTAAAGTTGGACCCATTACATCACCTGAAGATACAATATGAGGATATTAGCATCCATGAAAAATTRCTTGGCAAAAGGAATTYCTTTCAGTTTCAGTGAAAATGAAGAAATAAGTCAATTAACCAATTAAATGAAACAAGWATCTGACGACCGACGAATCAGCTCTCTAAACAGCTGACCAAACTAACTGGTCAAATAGTAATACCGGCAATCAATGAAACCTTCACATATGCCATCCAGCACACATATGAACCACTGAACCTATCAAAAATCATTCCATATATACCAATTAACCAATTCTCAGTGCTAGTTACTTCAAAACATAATACTTGCCAGAAACGGAGAAAGTTGCATGAATCGACTCTGGTACAACATCTTTTGGCAAGTCAAGTTTAATCTCGTCTTCATATTTTCCTATGATAGAAATTAAGGGAACGAGTGATGAAATATTGCATACTCTTGCTTAAAATGTCTCATGTTAGCAAAATTATTGAAAAACAAACAATTTTAAGAATTTGTAAAAGTGTGCAAAGGTCCGCATTGACATTAACATTGCTACAAAACCCATATTTAATCTTTGAACGGTCAAAATTACCAAAATCAAATCGTAAAAGTTAATATTTATGGTTTTCTTCACGGTTCTCTGCGCCATCTTGAAAGGTAGCCGTGCCTTTACTTCGAAGCAAGACAACCGTTGAGCGTCCAATGACAGCAAACTTTCTTTCACACCTATAGACAATTTTATTCACAGGGATCTCACGCTTGCTTCGCTTCGATGTAAAGGCACGGCTACCTTTCAAGATGGNCCACTGAACCTATCAAAAATCATTCCATATATACCAATTAACCAATTCTCAGTGCTAGTTACTTCAAAACATAATACTTGCCAGAAACGGAGAAAGTTGCATGAATCGACTCTGGTACAACATCTTTTGGCAAGTCAAGTTTAATCTCGTCTTCATATTTTCCTATGATAGAAATTAAGGGAACGAGTGATGAAATATTGCATACTCTTGCTTAAAATGTCTCATGTTAGCAAAATTATTAWAAAACAAACAATTTTAAGAATTTGTAAAAGTGTGCAAAGGTCCGCATTGACATTAACATTGCTACAAAACCCATATTTAATCTTTGAACGGTCAAAATTACCAAAATCAAATCGTAAAAGTTAATATTTATGGTTTTCTTCACGGTTCTCTGCGCCATCTTGAAAGGTAGCCGTGCCTTTACTTCGAAGCAAGACAACCGTTGAGCGTCCAATGACAGCAAACYTTCTTTCACACCTATAGACAATTTTATTCACAGGGATCTCACGCTTGCTTCGCTTCGATGTAAAGGCACGGCTACCTTTCAAGATGGYGCAGGAAACCGTKGAGGGGACTATTGCGACACGATATTTCTAATATTTCTCAAAACCTAATCGTCTCAGAAAAATAGAATTATTATATGAGRATATTGTTCCYTACCWCCAGGACACACCATATCACTGTAGGTATATTCTTGACCATCTCCCTCAGCCTGAAACACATTTTCAGTTTTAGATTYTAATGAATTAGTTAAGCATCTCAGATCATGACGATAACAGTTAGCATCCAACATGGCGGCGAAACCATTAAYGCGTGGAGTACAGACCCATGATATCAAATCCACTATTTACCTCAACACGAAGCACTCGAGTTTCAGAATCTGATATCCCAAGGGAGGGCTCTTGAGATGGATTCTTGCACAGACTGGGAGCCACGTTCTTCACTGTGACAGTGAGAGATACTTTACCAACTTTAGTCGGTTTGATCACGTGATTTACGCTCTTGGCCTCGTCACCACAAATACAGAGCCTTTGATTATTGGTCGAAATCAGTTGGAAATCGTTTGTTGGTTTTAACTGTATAACAACCTTATGTGGAATAAATAAACAGTTATGAATTTTATGATACTCTTAGTACCAATATAGATGACATTCTCCTAACTTAGCTACTTTCCATTCTTTTAAAAGCTTTCAATTCCCATTCCAATATTTTTTCTTTCAGCGTTCAATTAAATTATCAATCATGCAAAATGCACGCGAGCGGTAACAATCTTTTCAGTCACACATCTGTGAGGTTGTCATATGATTTAATACTCACTGTTGCACATGTCTTCATGTAGCTAAACACTCTTGTCACAATGCTGACTTTYTCKTCGCGAACTACTGCATAAGGTGCTGTAACCGACACGAAGAAAGGTCGAGWGACGGTGAGAGAAGAAGGTTCGGCCACGCCCATGCCATGTGTCGACGACATTGCAAAAGCACTGAGATGCCACGAGGTGATTGAATCAGGGACTCGAGCTGTGATTATCCTTTCACTGTTTGATTTACTGGTAAATACCAAACAATATAAGTTGTTGCTTCTGTATTACATCAATCGATATCTTAGCTCTGAGGTTATTTTGAATAAGTCAGAAAAGAAAACGTAACCCGGTATTTCAGTACGATTCAATAAAACACTGCTTTAAGAGTTTTTCTTTCGATTTTATTATAATTTTTATTCTTTTTCAGGCAAATCGTAACTCTGAGTGTGAGTCCCATTTCTGCCTGGTGATCATGACAAAGGAAGCTCAATCTTTTACGATTTCTGCCGTTATTATGATAAATANCGTTGCTCTCAAGAAGTGCTATTATTACGTAGGCCGTCAGAGTGACAGAGGAAGACACGCCTCCCTATTCAACAATTTCAAATGACTCAGTTTAARTTTGTCACTATCAAATGTTTAATATAAAWTTGCTAGAAATTGTAAATTATTATAATGTCATTATTCCATCKTGACGYCRTTTCACTTTATGCTACGTGCGCTATTCATTACATATACCTTTAGTTCTTTGCGGAATAGTTTTCCRTGTTTCTCAAAACAACCAGAACCAAGCTGCTTACTTTCAATCCATCTTGTAATGTTTTCGATTTCTTTTTYGTCAATGAATATGAACTGACKAGCTTGAGAGAATGACCGAAGAACAAACGCCGTCAGCCTTATAAGAAGAGMAAAATGTTAAGACAAGTTTTAATAATAAAAACAGCAACTTATCAAAATGCTAAGGAAGAAACGAAAATAATTATTTCAATTCGTTAATTCTTTGTATTTTGTTTTGATATTTTACCATAAACTGCCTTCTTTATCTTCATTACCAAAYGCACTGTACGAACCATCTTGACGCTTGTATGTCAACTCTCGCTGGTAACCTACAAAATACGCTCATTATCAAACAAACAAGAATCTATAACTATATYCSCTATATTCGCAGTCTTATTTGCTAATTTGCATTAGT